ACTAAAATATTGACAGTGGGCTCGCGTGGTGGCTCATGCCTATAATGCCAGCACTTTGGAAGTCTGGGGTGGGAGGACTGCTTGAGCTCAGGAGTTTGAGATCAGCTTGGTCAATGTAATGAGACCTCATCTCAGCTAAAAGTAATTTTAAAAAGATTAGCTGGGCATGGTGGTGCACACCTGTAGTCTCAAATACTCGAGAGGCTGAAGCAGGAGGATCGCTTGAGACCAGGAGATCAAGGCTGTGGGGAGCTATGATTGAGCCACTGCACTCCACCCTGGGTGACAGAGCTAGACACTCTCAAAAAAAAATTAATAGTAGAAGCATTGCACTATCTAAAAGTTGCTCACTCTGCAATAGACGTAAGTCAATGTATGCAATTTTTTGGTTGATTTGGGGAAGAGGCTGATAGCAGAATAGTTTGGGATCCTGAATAGGATTGGGAGATGAGCGTGAGGGTAACAAATTCCTATAAGTCCTGTAATTCTAAATTCCTGTAATTGAGGAAGACAATCTTCTCCACTTGGCTATATTGGACTAATCTCATTTTATTTACCTATAACTATCCCAGGTCAAAAAGAAAACCTGCACTGAAGAATTTCTGTGTTGTATGAGCCAGTCAGCCCAATCACTTGTGATGGATGAAGATTTCCTGTGTTTGTTTTTAACAGCCCTGTCGTGGTTTAAAAAGCACATCTCTTTCTTCAAAGGATTTGTTAATCAGGGTCGATTGCAGGCATTGACAATAAGCTCATTTATCAGGGTGCCAGAAGAATGCACTAGTTGGGTGTGTAGGCTCTAGGCTTAGGCTCGCTGGATTGGATCCTGGTTCTGCAGCCTGATGGTGGTGTAACCGTGGGCCATAGTGGCAGCTACTATCATCATCCGCTAGGAAGCGGCTGCTATCATCATCCCCATGTTATAGATTAGAAGCTGAGTCACAAGGAGGTTATATGCTTTGCATTTTATTATCTGATATCTGGCACAGAGTAAGCACTCATTACAAGTCAGTTATTATTGTTAGAGTGTTTAGAGGTCAAAATTTGAAGCTGTAAAGGTTATCTTGTTGAGGATACTTCTCTAATGTCAGCTAGGAGACAAGGTCTGTGTTACTCTGGCATTGAAGGCCTTCCACACTGTGATTCAGATATTGTGAAGAGATGGGCCCTACATTCTCATTTGGGGAGCCCAGGAAAGGTTTGCACTGTGGTATAGGCTCCTTTCTCATGAGCTATTTGCTGAAAGTTTGTTAGCTCCATGTGGTGCCCTACCCTAAGCTCAATGTAGTGCTCTACCCGAACCCCATTCTTGGCTTAGAGAATGGGGTTACCATCTCGAAGCTTATTATCTGGTGCCACTGCCAGAGAGCTCTGCCCTGTGGTCTTTAATGTTTATTTGTAAGCATGTGCAACCATTTGGTCGATAATCTTGTTTACTGGCTTTTGTAGGGCAAAGCCTAACACCTTTGGTCTTTTTTGTTTCCTGGCTAACAGCAGAGCTAGTCCTTGGAGACTCCTGTTGGGTTTTCCTCACCACCAGTATTAATGTATTCTACAGAAGGGAGGAGATCCGGATTTTAATCAAGAAACCATTCTACTTTATTTTACATGAAAACCTCCAAAACAATGCTGGAGGAGTCTTTTCCTTTTCTCCAGAATTTTAAAAAGCAAAGGTCTGATTTATTTTCAATGCTGCATTACAAACATTTTATGATTATTTTTAAAAAGAAAATACAACAGCCCCGGGACAAGAAATTTGAATGGTGCTTAGGACAAGACTCAATCAATGGAAAATTTGTTTCACATATAAAGATCATTATTTGTTTCTCTAAACATAGAATCATTGCTGTTTTAAAGTCAGTTCCATCAAAGTGCAATTCATATTAATACTATCAATTTTTGCCTTATATAAAACATTTTCTTCGCATCCTATTGTGGTCGTTTGCGGCTGAATGGCAAATTTTATGGGGATAAAAAAACTAATTCAAGTACATATCAAATAATTTCAGAGAAAAAATATAGACTCAAGAAGGGAAGGCCATGTAAAGTAGATAAACAAATCACATTCCAATTGAGGGTATTTGGGTTCATTCAGTATCACATTTGTCTTTGCGTCTCTTGCATTTCTCCATTTATGTCATTTTATTAAAGCTCCAATTTACCTACTTCATGGTGTGTTTGGGGAAAAGTCTGACAGGTAAGTTGGTTAATGAGACGTACCTCTGTAAACAAGCAAGGCCTTGTTAAATGGAGTCTAAATGATGGGTGACTAGGAGTTTAAAGCCATAATGGAATTGATAATTTCTTTGACAACATTATAAACCATGGTAGGAAAGTGGAGCATATGATGGTGTCACTACAAGTTACTGTGTATTTGTATACACACAGTGACATAGTTTTATTCTTTATGTTTATTCTATTACGTCCTATTTCCCGCCCACTGATCAGGGCACAGTGACTCTTCCTCTTTAAGTGAGCCCCTCCTCCCTTTAGTATAGGTGCTAAGGAATCTACACTGCAGGCTCAGGTGTGCCTGGCCCTTGGCAACCCCAGCCACATCCGACAGTATCAATATTAGCCCCATGTCCACTAGGGGTAGGAAGTCTAAACCAGCAGTTCTCAAAGTGTGGCCCTGGGACCAGCAACACAGGCATTTCCTGGATGTGGTAGAAATACAGGTTCTCAGGCCTTGACCAAGACCTACTGGATGAGAAACTTGGGCTGCGGCTTAGTAATCTGGGTTTTAATGAGCCCTCTAGGTGGTTCTGATGTTCTTTCAAGTTTAAGAGCCCAATTGGTCTTAACTTATTCTGCCCTATATCTATCTGTCTGGGTTTACTTCCTGGGTACCCGGAAATCTAGGAACTTCAGTTTTTCCCCATCAGTTTTCTCATGAATGGGTCTCTGGTCTCTCTGACTGGGTTTCTGCCCTGATGTCAGATTTATACTCTAGTTTCCAGCTGAGATCATCACCCTGCTCTCTAGACTAGAACCCTGTCAGCTCAATTCCCTAAACACATCACAGTCCTGCCTTTACCCATCTCCCTCCTGGCTGGTGGCCAAGTCTGGCACTGAATTGGTTGGGCCATTTGGAGCCAGTTCCCACTGGGGCATCTTCATGACCTGGCCGCCCCATGCTGTGCCCCCTGGCAGGCTGCCATAACACTGGCCGGGCTGACTACCAGGCACTTCACCCCTGGACACCATGGTTCACATTAGTATCTTTCCTTTGTTACTAGGCCTTGTCCTATAATCTGGATAACTATCTTAACCTGTTTAAAGCCCCACTATAATACTCCCCTCTCCCTGCTGAACCAGATATTAAGGGGCTGCATAAGTTATGACACCTATTTGACATCAGTGGATGCTTTTGGAAAACACTAGAAGAGAGCTAGGTAAATACTTTAGGATAAAACGTGTTACTGATTTGGGGACAACTTCTTTTAGGGTAAAAAAAGAAATAGTAGAAAACAAATTACATTTTATTGCTTTAAGGAAATCCTGATATCACTACTTTACGTTCTGAATATTTTAACTCACCTGATAGGGTATTTAGTACTTGCATTTTGTGGGGACCAGCATCCTCTAACTTGGTTTCCAAGCCCTAATATTTCCATGCAAGGATCTACCTACTGAATTTTATTTTCCAGAAACCTAAACACACCACTGTCTTACTAACAGTTCACAGGAGACCCAGCGCTATAGAGTTTAATGCAATCTGTGTACTCATCCATGGGAGCCTACAGGTGACAACCACTGTGAAAGAAATTGCAAGTCACATTTATGTGCTTAGGAAGTAATTCAAGAAGCATTTCAAAACACTCTCTATTCACCTTTAGTCAAAGCCTTTTTTTGTGTTTAGCAATATTCACAGTACTTCAAGAAACCCTTTTTTCTTAGAATTTGGTTTAATGCATAGACAGTTGGCCTGGTTTAAGCATAAGTTTTCCTATACTAAACTTGTGAGACCTGCAGTAAATGGTGAATGAAAGTGTTTACATTTGTGGTTGTATTCATTTAACTTTTCATGAATTATATATTCAATCCTACTGTGTGCCAGGCACTATACTAGGTGCTGTAATAACAGACTCTTGACTGTAAGAATCTTCTTGGAAGTCCTTTTCCAGTCAGATGGATCTTTACGTGTTGAATGTAGTAGGTATAAATTTGTCTTATAGACAATGGGTAGGGACCAGGAAGTGATTGCATGATCATCAAAAATGTATAGATTTGAGAAATAAAATGTGATTTGCCTAGAGCACTGTTGTTACCTTCTGGGATATGAAAATGAGGACCCAGGTCACAAGAACATTAAATAAAGACAGCCACACTTTAAAATAGATTTACCCATTTTCACAATTGACACCAGTGACCCATTTTTGTCAAAACGTCTGCTCCTCCCATACTTCAGGTTTATAGTAATCGTCTTCCAGAACTGCTTACTGGAGGGCCACTGACTGAAGCCTTTACCCCCTTTTCCTGTATGAAAGTGTCTAACTTGCATCTATAGCATCCCTCTGGCTAAGCATATGGCTCACTAAGCAAGTATGTTTAAGCATTTCCTATGTCCCTGTTGTAAGTGCTGTGAGGAATTAAAAAACAATAAATTCACTTTATCCTTCATATTATAGCTTTTTCTATATCAGTCCAACTGGATTGTATCTTGAGGACAAGACCTGTGTCTTATTTTTGTAAACTCCATAGTATACCGAATTGTACTGAATACAGATTGTTGAATGGAATAATTGATAGATGAATAAATAAATTTCTAGGGACAGACTACAAACAGACATCATCCTAGGATTTGGAAGCCTTCTGGAAAAGTCAGTGTGGTTGGTACTACGTCATTCTGTTTCACCCGATGGGTGAAGGTCAACTTGACTGCCGGGAAAGTTAGGTTAGGACCTGCCATTGTACTATTGACTAAGTCAGCAATACCAGAAATTGAACAGCGCAGTCATGCCTCGTAACGATTTCCTTTGCTAGACGTTGTCACTCACCTGATCTGAAGCCAAGTCAGCATGGGGGTTGTTCCTCCTCCAAATACCCAGACAGTGAAGAACACGAGGAGCAGTGTGGTGGTAAACATCATTTGTTTGGGCTGAGATTCTGTGTTCCGAATAGCTAAGGCAAATGCGATCGCTCCTCGCAAACCTTGCAGGAAAAACCAAAGGAGAAAATAAACACCTTGCAAGTGTCTTTTTAATTTCAATGGATTCATCCTTACAATGTGCTGACACAATTTTTTAATTAATCTTTTTATTTTGAGATAATTATAGATTCATAAAGAGTTGTAAGAAATAATACAGAAAGACACTGTGTACTATTTCTTCAGTTTCCTCTCAATGATATCATGCAAAACTATATAGCTCAATATCTCAACCAGAATATTGACATTGAGCCAGTCAAGATAAAGAACATTTCTGGCTGGGTGCAGTGGCTCACACTTGTAATCTCAGCACTTTGGGAAGCTGAAGTGGGAAAATCACATGAAGTTAGGCATTTGAGATCAGCCTGGGCAACAAAGCAAGACCCTGTCTCTAAAAAAAAATTTTTTTAAAAATTAGCCAGGCATGGTGGCATGTGTCTTTAGACCCAGCTACTCGAAAGGATCACTTAAGCCCAGGAGTTCAAGGCTGTAATGAGCTAGGATTATGCCATCAGTCTGGGTGACAGAGCAAGACCCTGGCTCTAAAGAGACAGAGAGAGAGAGAAAAAAAAAAAATTTCCATCACCACAAGGATCCTTCACACTGCCCTTTTGTAACCACACCTACTTCTCTCCCACACACTCACTCCTTAATTCCTAACAACCAATAATCTATTCTCTGTTAAGATGATTTTGTCATTTCAAGAAAGTTATATAAATGGAACCATGCAGTATATAGTCTCTTGGAATTGCCTTTTTTTTAACCCAGCATAATTTGCTGGATAATCATTCAGGTTGCTGAATTATTGGTAGTTGTTCCTTTTTATTACTGAGCAATATTCCACAGTCTGGATGTTCCACAGTTTATTTTACCACCTGTCTGTTGAAGGATATCTGAGTTGTTTTCAGTTTTTGGCTATTACAGCAAAGGATGCTAAAATTTACATACAGATTATTGTGTGAACATAAGTTTTCATTTCCCTGAGATATATGCCCAGGAGTACAATCACTAGGTAGTATAGTATTTCCATATTTAGGTTTTTAAGAAATTACTCAATTGTTTTCCAGAGTGGTTGTAACATTTTACATTCCTACCAGCAATATATAAGTCATCCAATTTCTCTGCCTCCTTGGCAGATTTGGTGTTGTCACTATTTTTCATTTTAGTCATTCTGATAAGTATGTGGTGATGGTTTGTTGTGGTTTTAATTTGCATTTTCCTAACAGTAAAATGGTCTTGAGCATTTTGAAATGTATTTGTTTGTTATCCATATACCCTCTTGGGTGAAATGGCCCTTCATGTCTTTAACTCATTTTTAAAAATCGGATTGTTGAGTGTTTATTGTTGAGTTTTGAGAGTTCTTAACAATTCTATATAATAGTCCTTTGTTGGATGCATGGTTTGCAAATATTTTCTCCCACTCTGTGGCTTCTCTTTTCATCATCTTAAAAGAGTCCTTTGCAGAGAAAAAGTTTTCAATTTTGATGAGGTCTAATTTGTTGATTTTGCTTTTTATAAATTGTGCTTTTGGAGTCATGTCTAAAAACTCTGTGCTTAGCCCTAGATCTCAAAGGTTTTTCCCTATTTTTTTCTGAAAGTGTTACAGTTGTACATTTAGGTCCATGATCACTTTGATCGAATTTCTATATAAGGTGAGAGGTTTAGGTTGAGGTTCATTTTTTCACCTATGGATATTTAATTGCTTCATTGAATTGCTTTTGGAACTCCATCAAAAACCAGCTGGGTATATTTTTGTAGGTCTATTTCTCAGTTCTCTACTTTGTTCCATTGATCTATGTGTCTGTCCTTCTTCTAACAGCACACTGTCTTAATTATTGTAGCTATATAATAAGCCTTAACATTGGGTAGAGTGATTCTGCCCACCTTAATTTTGTTTTCAAAATTGTTTTAGCTATTCTAGTTATTTTGCCTTTCCATAACATTTTAGAATAATATTGACTGTATATACAAAAGAAACTTTCTGGGAACAATTACTTTTTAAGAATCAAATGTGTCAGACAACAAAGAAAACTAAGCTTATGGACCACTGAAAATTAACTACTTAAATGGCATTTAAAATTACTCTAGAATGATTACATAGTTTTACAAAATCTATAAACCAGTATATTAAAACCTGATTTTTCTTCTTCTTTTACTTTTTCTTTTGTAATAATATGCTAATTGCATTTTTATGAATCCATATTAAATATATTTGCAAGAGGTATTAAAGATGAAGGGCTAGGCATGGTGGCTCACGCCATAATCCCAGCACTTTGGGAGGCTGAGGTGGGCAAATCATGGGGTCAGGAGTTTGACACCAGCCTGGCCAACATGGTGAAACCCCATCTCTACTAAAAATACAAAAATTAGCTGGGTATGGGGGTGCACACCTGTAGTCCCAGCTACTCGGGAGGCTGAAGCAGGGGAATTGGTTGAAGTTGGCAGGTGGAGGTTGCAGTGAGCCAAGATTGTGCCATTGCACTGCAGCATGGGTACAGAAAAGTGAGACTGATCAGTCTCCGAAAAAAAAAAAAAAAAAGAAACACGAATTGAAGGTTGAAGTGTGCAGGACCACTAATAAAAATACCAGAAATTTTGCACTTGGGACGAGAGGTAAAGTAAAAGCACAACTAGTAAAGGAAAGGCAGCTAAAATGGAGAGGGTCTCTCTCGGCAACCCACACGACTGGCTGCCGACACATTTATGAGTCCCTTTATATTGCTGTAAGTACACAGGGGAAAATAAAGATGTTATAATTGACAGCGAGCGGTATGCGGGACCACCCACGACGGTAGTGATCCTCGGTTATTGTCCTACTTCGAAAGCTTGTAAAATCATCACATGATAGCCTTAATATTACTTTTTATATATTTACTTATAGTCTTTTACAATTGTCCGTAAATTCTGTACTTCCAGTACATCGGTAAAGGAAGTTTTAACAAAGTAGATCTACAGGACAGGATGGCAGAAACAACTATGTAGCACCAACGGTGTGTTTTGTTTTCTAGGTTCTCAACTTGAATACAGTACGCATCAGCCTCATTTCTGTATCTCCATGCTGAGACTATTCAGAGGCACGCAAGTGTGCATAACACAAGGATCACAGGATTCGAGCTACAGACGGACTTAATACGTTTCTGCCCTGGAAACAAGAAATTCGAAACGCAGGACGAAGAACATGCCATCTGGACGCGCACACGAGAGCGCGCGAAGGAACAAAACTAATGGAGCAAAGAGGAAATTATTCCTAATCTCCGCGTGTAACGAACATGGAAAGTGGCCTATAGTATAAGGAAGATACCGATTTTGAAGTAGGATATCCTAATAAAAGTTCTTACACAGTCCCAGGAGAATTTCTGAACACTTAGATGGGTTGTTACAGGAAGAAAAGGCCACACCAGTCCGAGTGGCATTCACACCCGCATTGGGGGTAGTCGGGAATCATTTTATTTTTTTTTTTTTTTTGGAGCGGAGTCAGAGTGGGAATTAATAACCTTTTAAATACTGGGCAACTATTCTTAACAGTGTTCTCACCAGGAATCAATTAGGGGGATCCATCTGAGGCGAGGATGAACTCAGGGGGACAGTCTTCTAGATTTTTTCTGGGGTATACATGAGGGAGGGATTATGGATCAGGAGTAACTCCTAGGCAATTTGGATTTGTTCACAGAGTTCGAATAGGCTGAGAAGTGACTTTATACACAAGACATTAGGGAGAGCGGGGAGGAGAGAGGGGGGCGTGGCTCACAACCTATAATTCAGCACTTGGGGAGGACTAGGAGAGAGGAGTGAGATTACCTGAAAGAGGTTCAATTAAGAACCAGCACACAGGGCCAATCGCCGTCATCTATTACTAAAAAATCAGATTTCTTGGGCGTGGGTAATGGATGCCTGTAATTCCAGCTAGCTATGGAGGCTGGCAGGAAAATACTTACCCATAGGGAGAGTGGAGATGGCAGTGAGGCCTGGGAGATCGTGCCATTTGAACTCCAGCCTGGGCAACAAAACAAAAAAAAAAAAAAAGAAAACGGGTGAACTTTCCAATTTCTCCTTTCCTCAAGCTCATAGTGATAGGTCCATAAAGCAGCACCATGGCAAAGTACATAATGTTAGAAGTATTAGACAATGAGTGGCTAAGTATTAATAGTTCTCATTGATAGAAATATTTGTAGTTTTTTAACTTTGTGTCTTTGTGACAAAGATGAGAAACTAGAATAAAAATTAAAAGTTACAATAACATGCCTACTATAAACTCTTTCATGCTGGATATTAAGGGCAAGGAGGTAAGCAATCATTAATCTTACTAAGAATGTTTAATAATGTATTGTTATGTTAAACTAGGGTAACTATGCTCTTAAATCTAAATTATCTATACATGAGCAATTCTTGGTTTAAAATTATACTCAAATATATGTTATGCTGACTTCTGAAACAACCTATATCTATATATAGAATACCCTATATTTACAGGAGATGCAATGTAGAGATTTCAGAAACAAATGGAAAAGTACAGCCACTGTCTTGTGGCAGGTTGAGAAACACTGTTAATTGGGGCCAAACCCCAAGATGTTGAAAAGAGGATGCCTTCTCAATGTTATAACCACCTAAAAAAACATAGATACAGGGTGTTTTTAGAGATGGGATCATCTGTCCATAGCCCTGGTAACATGTGGCATGCATGGCACTGTGGCACTGGAAGCATGGGGATGGACATGAGAATGGTGAGGCTGCCAGGTGGACAAAGTGAAGCTAATGTAGAACTCCAGATCAGGTGGACTATTGTCTATGTCCTACTCATTCTTTATGACTCTGAAGTTGCTTATCACACATTTGGAGCCTAGATAAATGTAAAACCAATGCATTCATTGGTTCATTTAATGTACATGTATTGATTACCCCCTATGTGGAGACTCTGGGCATACTGATCCTATCTTCTTTACACTATGGTTTTGGACAATAGAGGATTTTAGGATTGAAATAGATTATTAGGGTACCAGCAAAATAC